ATGTTATTAAATGTGGTATTTTCACGTGCTTTCAGATGGAGCAGCATTTACTACACAGAGCCGTAGTTCACTGAGAAGCTACGCAAACAGCTTTCATAATCGCAGAACGATTTTTTTCAATTTCATAATTTTACGATTATATCGTCTGCGATTATGAACGCGATTTTGCGTAGCTTGTCAGTGAACTACGGCTCTGTGTTGTAAACGCTGCTCCACCTGAAAGCAGGTGATGGAGATTTACTACTAATCACAGAACCGGCTTTACTGACAAAATGTGCATGACAATCGCGATTAATCATGTTCGACTAATCGTGCAGCCCTAACTGAGACGCTCGTGATATGGCATCACACTCTGCTGCGTCTTTTAAAAAATAAAATAAAAATTTGAAAATTTAGAAATATACAATCTAGTCCACTTTACTGCAAAAGTTTGCCTTTTTTTTTTTTTTTAATTCACCTAAGAGGTCACACAGTGGACGTATCGATCTTCTATTGGTCACACGTCTTCACATGATATGAATCCACAGGTCAGAGTTTTTCAGACTTGAACTTGGAATGCAGTGAAATTCGCTTGAGCTTGAGCTTGTGTTTTCAGTCATGCGCAAATGGCCAACAATCCTCAGAAAGGGTTGACGGCACCAAAAAGTGATGGCTTTAGTTACCTTGCCCTTTTGTCTCGGGTAGGGCTGCACGATTATGACAAAAAAAATCATAATTGTCGATTATTCCCTTGATCTTGTAATTGTGATTATTAATAATGATTATTTAGAACAGATTTATGCCATTGTTTGGAGCTGCATGCCATATTTGTATATAAAATATAAAAAAAGGGCATGAAAACACTCTTCCTGAACTTTTATTGCTTTTCTATAGCATTGAGACTTAAACGTCAACTATACATTGGTTTGGTTTCTTCTTTAAATAAAAAAGGTAAAATTATGCATGGTGTAATAATGTTATACCAAAACTAAAAGAAAAAAAAATGGTTTACTAAAGCTATATATTTCATTTACAATTAAACAGAATTTCAAAAACATTTTACAGTACAATTTATATTATCAGGGCTCCAGACTAACATTCGAGAGCCGTGGCACCAGCACCTGATTTAACACTGAACATGTAATACTGATATTACAAGTTTTGTCTCTTAGAAATGCACATTAGACAGGAGTTTGAGTTGGGATGCAGATGTACATTTATTTTCATTAACAAAAACAGTACTATTGTGAAAACCGTAACAGCCTCATCTTTTATACATTTGTAGATCATAACTAAAAGTACAGCACCTCATTACCATGGTAAAAAAGTAGCGTAACTATATGGTTTCTATGGTGTTTGCTATGAAAAACAGTAGCCTAAAGACATTCAATCGATTACAAAGCTTTAAGCTCGCGCTGCGCCGTTTTCTTTTGAGGCGAGCGGATAAAAGGTCCATGTGGCGCGCAGTTCAAATGAGTACCGCTATTTTGTTCCGCTTTTGACACGTTTGGCGTTTAACATATCTATCATGCGCAACAGAGTGACAACGACTATCAGTTAGACAAAATGTCTTTTATCCGGTGTGTTTAGCTGATGATACACTGGGCAAATTTTTGAGCAATTTTGCAGTCAACGGGCAACCTTGGGGGCTGTTTCATAAAACAAGTTTACCAAATAAGCCAGGCTTATTTCAGTTAGTCTGACTTATTGTCACTTGATTTGGTTTCCGAAAGCAAAATTACTATAGCTCAAGCTCAGTCACTGTGGCAACTTGTGCTGAGAAACTAACCTGATCCGGAGCAGGCTAAGCTGAGCTCCTCTAACACTGACCAATAGGAACACTTCGATATTACCACTGGCTCTCTCACATACAATTAGTTGACTTTATTATCAGTCCAAAAATAAAAGTATACAGAAAATTCATAAATTCAGCAAATCTAAAAAATAAAAATATAGGCTACAACCTGTATTTAAAGGGATACTCCACACCAAAATGAAAATTGTCATTAATCACTGACCCCCATGTCGTTCCAAACCCGTAAAAGCTTCGTTCGTCTTCGGAACACAATTTAAGATATTTTGGATGAAAAGCGGGAGGCTTGTGACTGTCCCATTGACTGCCAAGTAAATTACACTGTCAAGGTCCAGAAAAGTATGAAAAGTATCGTCAGAATAGTCCATCTTCCATCAGTGGTTCAACCGTAACGTTATGAAGCGACGAGAATACTTTTTGTACGCGAAGAAAACAAAAATAATGACTTTATTCAACAATTCGGCACCGTAGCGGCATTTTGGAGAGTATCACTGCACGCAAAATGCGTACGCTTTTCTGTGTCAGCCGCGACACAAGGATACGTTTTCTACGTGGATTTACGCTTTGATTTGAACGCAAACAGCGCATCCCTATGTCGCGGCTGACACAGAAGAGCGTACGCATTTTGCGTGCAGCGATACTCTCCAAAATGGCGCTACGGTGCCGATTCTCGTCGCTTCATAACGTTACGGTTGAACCACTGACGGCAGATGAACTATTCTGACGATGTCTTTCATACTTTTCTGGACCTTGACAGTGACCATAAAAGACATTTTGTCTAACTGATAGTCGTTGTCACTCTGTTGCGCATGATAGATATGTTAAACGCCAAACGTGTCAAAAGCGGAACAAAATAGCGGTACTCATTTGAACTGCGCGCCACATGGACCTTTTATCCGCTCGCCTCAAAAGAAAACGGCGCAGCGCGAGCTTAAAGCTTTGTAATCGATTGAATGTCTTTAGGCTACTGTTTTTCATAGCAAACACCATAGAAACCATATAGTTACGCTACTTTTTTACCATGGTAATGAGGTGCTGTACTTTTAGTTATGATCTACAAATGTATAAAAGATGAGGCTGTTACGGTTTTCACAATAGTACTGTTTTTGTTAATGAAAATAAATGTACATCTGCATCCCAACTCAAGCTGATGATCGACATTAAGGGCTGCTTAAGAATAAGCGTTCACATCAAATTATCTTGACTCATTAAACCTGGATCGAATTAGTGAGATTGTGTGAACTTGAATTGTCTTTTTTGAAATCGTTTTAGTCCCGATTGATTTGTTAGGTTATTTCAAGACAGGTTTTGGACTTTAATCCCCGCTTTTCTTAGCGTCTTTTATGAAACAGCCTCCAGGTGAAACGCCGATTGATTTGTTAGGTTATTTCAAGACAGGTTTTGGACTTTAACCCCCGCTTTTCTTAGCGTCTTTTATGAAACAGCCTCCAGGTGAAACAGAGCCCACGACTGAACTAAAATAATTAAAAATGTTAATTATTTATTTATTTTTGTAATCACAGCTTTGAATGATTATGTGATCGTGGCATCACATCTTAGAAATTTGATTAATTGTTCAGCCCTAGTCTCGGGTGAAAGAGGAACTTGAATAAACAATGAACAACTCCGTGTTTACATTATTTAGCTGGCGTTGTTGCTTCATTTAGTTTCAAACTATGAAAAACACTTAAAACAATGACTCAAATTATATTCCTGCAGTGTCAAAATTGTAAAATTTTTATGTTAATATTACATTAGTTAATTATATTGATAACAAATATGTTTAATAGTTCAGAAACACTACACTACATTAGCCTGTAATGTTTTAAAAAATAATAATTGGAAGATCAATGTGTCTCATTCATGCAAAGTTTTCTTTTATTACATCAGGGCTCACTTTTATGGCCTTTCAATTCATATTCCTGTCTTTGAATTATTTTGGTTTATTGAAAATACAACTTTTCTCTTTCACTTCAGACCCTAAAGAAGAGAACGAGGAGAGTGAAGTGGAGGAGAAACATCATGTCAGACCTGAAGGGAGTCGCTCGAAAACTAAAAATATATTTTTAAAGGAAAGAAGTGATCAAGGCGGCAAAACATTTCTCGTGTCATCAGACCTGAAGAAACACCTGGCAGTTCATACGAAGGAGAAGCCGCATTCATATTCTTTATGTGGAAAGGGTTTTTCACTACTGCGGAGTTTAAAATCGCATCCGAAAACACATACTGGTGTAAAAGATCATGTGTGCTTTGAGTGTGGGAAGTCTTTTACTTGGGCAAAACATTTAAAACTGCACCAGAGGATCCACACTGGAGAGAAACCGTATAAGTGTTCACACTGCGACAAGACGTTCAGTTGGTTAGCACATCTGAAATCACATGAGCAGGTCCACAGCAGAGAGAAAACACACGCGTGTGATCTGTGCGGGAACAGCTTTGCACGCAAAAAATATTTAAGGGTCCATATGAGGATCCACATGGGAGAAAAGCCATACGCGTGTGATCAATGTGGAAAGAGTTTCACTCAATCATCACACCTTAAAGAACACATGAGGATCCACACCGGAGAGAAGCCACACGCATGTGATCAGTGCGGCAAAACATTTCTTAGGGCATCAGCTCTGAAGAAACACCTGACGGTTCATACGAAGGAGAAGCCGCATTCGTGTTCTGAATGTGGAAAGAGTTTTTCACAGCTGAAAAATTTAAGATTACATCAGAAATTTCACAACACCGTGAGAGATCATGTGTGCTTTGGGTGTGACAAGACTTTTTCATTGGTAAACCATTTAAAACAGCACCAGAGGATCCACACCGGAGAGAAACCTTACAAGTGTTCACACTGTGACCAGAGATTCAGTCAGTCTGCAAATCTGAAAACACATGAGAGGATCCACAGCGGAGAGAAGCCGCACACGTGTGATCAGTGCGGGAAGAGCTTCAGTCAGTCAGCGAATCTGAAAAGACATGAGAAGATCCACAGCGGAGAGAAGCCGCACACGTGTGATCAGTGCGGGAAGAGCTTCTCATTAAAAAGCTATCTTGACGTTCACATGAGAATCCACACCGGAGAAAAGCCGTATGCATGTGATCAATGCGGCAAAACATTTCTCGTGTCATCAGCCCTGAAGAAACACCTGGCAGTTCATACGGGGGAGAAGCCGCATTCATGTTCTGTGTGTGGAAAGAGTTTTCCACTGCTGAAAAGTTTAAAATCGCATCAGAAAACACATACTGGTGTGAGAGCACATGTGTGCTTTGAGTGTGGGAAGACTTTTACTTTAGAAAGCTATTTAAAACTGCACCTGCGGATTCACACTGGAGAGAAACCTTACAAGTGTTCACACTGCGACAAGACATTCAGTCAGTTATCAAATCTGAAAACGCATGAGAGGATGCACGGCGGAGAGAAACCTCACACGTGTGATCAGTGCAGGAAGAGTTTCGCTTTTAAAAGTCGTCTGAAGATGCACATGAAGATCCATGCAGTGGAGACACTGAGCAATAAAGCCTCTTCAGTGTAAGTTAGTTTCCTAACAGCCACAACTGGTGACGGGACATTTTGTTGGTTGCTTGGAAATTATCTCGTTATTGAGAAAGTATGTTATTATTATATATATTAGAAAGTGTCTCTTTCTCTTTATAATGACTTGCATGTTGATGTATAGGTAACACGCTATAATAACTTTCATTAATAAATCATCAACAAACATTACGTAATGCTTAACGGATGATTGGTTCATATATTCACTTATCGAGAAACGTGAAATAATGTGCTCGCTTTTAAAAGTCGTCTGAAGATGCACATGAAGATCCATGCAGTGGAGACACTGAGCAATAAAGCCTCTTCAGTGTAAGTTAGTTTCCTAACAGCCACAATTGGTGACGGGACATTTTGTTGGTTGCTTGGAAAGTATCTCGTTATTGAGAAAGTATGTTATTATTATATATATTAGAAAGTGTCTCTTTCTCTTTATAATGACTTGCATGTTGATGTATAGGTAACACGCTATAATAACTTTCATTAATAAATCATCAACAAACATTACGTAATGCTTAACGGATGATTGGTTCATATATTCACTTATCGAGAAACGTGAAATAATGTGCTCGTTAATGTTTACTAATAAATGTATTACACATTTCGTGTAAATTAAAATGCTTACAAATGTCATTAAACGTCTAAATCATAAGATCACGCACATCTTGAAAATCTACAAGTGATTTTAACATGTTATACAATGGTTAAAAGCTTGTGTTAATGCACAACACGTTTGCTGCTGTTGAGGTGTGATTTGGGTACGGTTAGGCTCAGGTTTGGGTTGGTTTAAGGTTGGGTAAGAGGTCAACACTGCACAGGGGTCAATTTGAGTACTATAAGGGAACACGATTCAAGCTGTTTATATTGCATTGTTTTGATAAATGAAGTACTTTCTTGAAAATGTGCCCCTCCCCCTCCTGTTGATGTATGACTCAAGGAATATTCTGTTTAATAATACACAATAATAATAATACATTTATTTTATATAGTTCCTTTTCAAAGTTGCTTTCTCAAGGCGCTTTCCAAGAAAGCTTACATAAAAGAAAACACAACAATATAAGACAATATACTATAAATTCAACAAGAAATAAATCACAAAACAATACAATAAAAACTAATCAAATAAAAGCATTCCTGAAAAAGAATGTTTTAAAAAAAGTTTTAAAAACGGTTAAAGAATTAGCGTCCCTAGTGTCAATTGGGAGAGAATTCCACAGTTTAGTCGATTTAGTAAAAGCATGTGGTCAACAGTGTCGAAGGCTGAACTAAGATTGAGTAAGATGAGAATCGATAGAGCGCCAGAATCAGAAGCTAACAGTAAGTCATTAACAACTTTAACCAAGGCTGTTTCAGTGCTATGCAGTTTCCTAAACCCAGATTGTAGGGGCTCAAACAGATTATTGACCGTTAAATGGTTGTGTAATTGAGATGAAATAACACCCTCTAAAATATTAGCAATAAATGGAAGATGAGAAATTGGACGAAAGTTACTGAGATTGTTCGAATCACTGTTTTGCTTTTTTAATATGGGCGTGACAGCAGCAGTTTTAAGTGCTGTTGGCACAACACCAGTGGCCAAGGAGTCATTTATTATTGTAAGAACAACAGGGCACAAGTAACCAAAACAATATTTAAATAAACTAGAGGGCAGGGGATTAAGTATGCAAGTGGAAGCTTTAATATGAGCTATAAAGTAAAACCCATTTTAAGGGTGTATTCACACCTGTCTTGTTTGGTTCGATTGAATCGAATAAAACCCATTTTAAGGGTGTATTCACACCTGTCTTGGTTGGTTCGATTGAATCGAAGTCAAGTTCGTTTCCCCCTTTGGTGCGGATCTTTTGGGCAGGTGTGAATACAGCAATCGCACTCGAGTGTGGACCAAACAACCGAACCGAGACCCAGCTGAAGAGGTGGTCTCGGTCTGCTTCCAAACGAACTCTGTTACGGTTGAATGGATAAACCAATGAATGAATGAATGACATTAAGCACATGTGTGGTTTTGTTAACAGTTTCTGGTTCACTTGCAAAAAGGGCAGTGTGAAAGCGAACCGCACCAAACCAAAAAAATCAACATTGTATTTGGTCCGGACCAAAGCAAGTGAACTAGCGGACTTTCCTGGTGTGAATACACCCTAAATAATTTTCGTCCAGTTAGGTGAAATCTATGAAGTACTTTATTGTCATGAAACACTCACAGACTCTATGAAAGTTCCAAGTGCAGCATTTAAAGGGGTCCTATTATGCTTTTTCACTTTTTAAACTTTAGTTAGTTTGTAATGTTGCTGTTTGAGCATAAAAAAGATCTGCAAAGTTACAAAGCTCAAAGTCCAATTCAAAAGGAGATATTTTATTTAACAGAAATCACTTTTCAAAAACTACAACGAACGACTCGTTTGGACTACAACGCATATTTTCCGGGATTTGTGATATCACAAAGATCGACGAATGGGACGAGACCGGGTTGAGCTGCACTTGAGAAGACAACGAGTGTTATCACTATGTCGGAGACACGCTAGCTTTCCCAAGGCAGACGAACTTAGAGTGGTTACAATCATTCGGGTTTAAATCGCGCTCAAATTGATTTAATTTTGGCGCAATATTTACACTGAAGCTTGCAGTAAGGGCTATGGTAAGGGGAGAGAGGTGATGTAATAATGTAAAATATGTGAAAAATAATGTTTTTCGAACAACCTAGTATGAGAGCCTGTTCTAGTACACCCCCAAAACAAAATCAAGACTTTATCCACAGTCGTAATACACATGAAACAAAAGAGGTAAAAGCATCACACAAGGTGAAAACAGACCAGTCACCAGCAAACACAGAGCAAAGAGCAATTCCTCCACAACCCAAAGCTTAGTTAGCCAAGTATAAATACAGGTGAGCTAAATGGGTAAATCACACAAAGCTGGAGGCAATGAGTTTGACGTTGTGTGGATGAAAACCATTATGATGTCTAGGAGACATTGGGTTTTGGTTGCCATACCTGATGACTAAATGTCAGTAATTGACATCAATATGACATTTGCTTAAGACGTTGGATTGGGGTTAGTTAATGCCACAACCTAAAACTAACAAAAGATCAACGTCTAATGATGTTAAGAGTTTGACATTGTGTGGACGTTACCATTATGACGTCTAAGAGACGTTGGGTTTTGGTCACCCACACAACATCACACGTCCACACAACGTCAAATTCTAACATCATTAGACAGTTATATTTTGTTAGTTTTAGGTTGTGGCAGGTGCCAGGTTATTATAATGGAAGATATGCTGAAGTTGTGTGATACCCTTTTCTGCCCATGTGCATAAGTTGAGTGGCTTGTTGTTAGCTGTAAAATCTGGGTTATTCCAGATCAGGGTGTATTTAGATGGTGCAAGAGGGGAGTTTGTGATTTGATGAAATTTCCACCAGGCTGTCAGATTGCTGCTGCTATTGTCGGCATTTTAAAACAGTGATGCCTTTTGATTGTCTGATTGTAGATGGGTAATTCTGAAGTGTTAATGTCCTTACAAATTGTTCAACATCTAGCCATGTGCTTTCTGATGGGTTAGGGTGAATCCATTTGTGTATATTTTGGAGTTGATTGGCCAAAAAGTAGTGGTAAAAATGTGGTGCTTCCAGTCCTCCTTGTGTTTTTGGAAGAAAATATTAAATTTTGGAAGAAATAGTACAGCACCTTAAATCGTCAACCTGCGACCTTGACACACTTCCTACATCTTTTTTCAAAAGTGTTAAACTGTTTAGAAGCAGATCTCTTAGAAGTGGTGAACGCCTCACTTCTTTCTGGGACGTTTCCAAACTCCCTGAAAACTGCAGTTGTTAAACCCCTTCTGAAAAAGAGCAATCTTGATAACACCATATTGAGCAACTATAGACCAATATCAAATCATCCTTTCATAGGTAAGATTATTGAAGAGTCTTTAATCAGCTGAACAAATACTTAAACTCAAATGGATACCTGGACAATTTTCAATCTGATTTTCGACCGCATCACAGCACAGAGACAGCACTCATTAAGATAATAAATGATATTCGCTTAAATTCTGAATCTGGCAAAATATCAGTGCTGGTACTACTAGATCTCAGTGCTGCGTTTGACACTGTCGATCATAACATACTACTAGAGAGACTGGAAAACTGGGTCGGGCTTTCTGGGATGGTAATCAAATGGTTCAGGTCATACTTAGAAGGGAGAGGTTATTATGTGAGTATAGGAGAGCATAAGTCTAAGTGGACGTCCATGACATGCGGAGTCCCACAAGGCTCAATTCTTGCACCGCTCTTGTTTAGCCTGTATATGCTCCCACTAAGTCAAATAATAAGAACCAAATTGCCTATCACAGCTGATGATACCCAGATTTACCTAGCCTTATCTCCAAATAACTACAGCTCCACTGACTCTCTGCCAATGCATTGATGAAATTAACAGTTGGATGTGCCAGAACTTTCTTCAGTTAAACAAGGAGAAAACTGAAGTCATTGCATTTAGAAACAAAGATGAAGTTCTCAAGGTGAATGCATACCTTGACTCTAGGGGTCTAACAACTAAAAATCAAGTCAGGAATCTTGGTGTGATTCTGGAGACAGACCTTAGTTTCAGTAGTCATGTCAAAGCAGTAACTAAATCAGCATACTATCATCTCAAAAACATTGCAAGAATGAGATGTTTTGTTTCCAGTCAAGACTTGGAGAAACTTGTTCATGCCTTTATCACCAGCAAGGTGGACTATTGTAATGGTCTCCTCACCGACCTTCCCAAGAAGACCATTAGACAGCTGCGGCTCATCCAGAACGCTGCTGCCAGAATTCTGACAAGAACCAGAAAATCTGAGCATATCACACCAGTCCTCAGGTCCTTACACTGGCTTCCAGTTATATTTAGGATTGATTTTAAAGTACTTTTACTCGTTTATAAATCACTCAATGGCCTAGGACCTAAATACATAGCAGATATGTTCACTGAATATAAACCTAACAGACCACTCAGATCATTAGGATCGAGTCAGTTAGAAATACCAAGGGTTCACACAAAACAAGGGGAGTCTGCTTTTAGTTATTATGCTGCCCGCAGCTGGAATCAGCTTCCAGAAGAGATCAGATGTGCTAAAACATTAGCCACATTTAAATCCAGATTCAAAACTCATCTGTTTAGCTGTGCATTTATTGAATAAGCACTGTGCTACTTGAAAGGTTATAAGGTTTCTCTCCACTGTGATATCTCTAGTGC